GGAGAGCTACGTTTCCAGCGGCAGAGATCTCACCTTGGAGCACATATTACGTCAAGGAAGTGCACTTTATCCGATAAGTTTTGTACTGCGTTACGAGTTCGTGCACGAGGCGGTCTCCTGTAACCATGTGTTCGGTTTCGCGTCCACTTCATCCACGTCTTCCACGTCTTCTTCATCCTCTTCTTCATCGTCCTCCACGTCGTTACTGTCGTCGCTCGCCAAGGCGGGGAAATTCGCGTCGCCGAAAAGTGTATTCTTTTACGGTCGCGGTGGTGCGCAGAACGTTAGCTGTGTGTATCGTTTCGAGACCGAGCCGGATCACAGGATAGAACTGTCCATAAGTAGAGCCTCGTTCGGAGATAAAGGATGTTCCTCGTACGTAGACCCGTTAGTCAATCGCTGGACTTGCGATCGACGCATAGGCGACTCCACCAAGTTTGGCACGGCTGAGTTGATCGTTGCCGAGTACCCTTGGCAGGGAGTGGAACTGGTACGATTCTCATAACATTAATATATGCTTAGAAATGTAACGTGAGATATACAAATCTCGCTAATGATAACATTGTTCGTAAATATTCAGGTTCGCGATTGCCTGTGCTCGAACGTCAGCGATAGGATCGTTCTGAGAACACTGACATCCAACGTGATCGAAGTCCGGTTCACCGTGACCTTAATGAACGTCACGCAAGATTATAGAGATTTCTATTTCGAAGGGGAGTACCGTTTCGTCGCTTTGGGCGCAGAGTCGAGCGAACAAGGCTGCTCGACGAAGCTCGAAGAGCGACGATTACGCGGAACTAGCGGTGAAATTTCCCTCAGAAGTCCACTGCCGCGAGTGATTCCCGGTGTCGCCGCCGTCGAAGAGATCCTAACCAATACGGAGGATCTGACTGCCACTCAATGTGTGAACGAACCCTGGCTGATAGAGCCTGAAGATGCACGGATCAATTATTTGTATTTAAGGACGGCGGGATATAGTATCACGTTGGATAACGTCGAGGAATGTACAACGTTGAACAGAATCGTCGTCTACTCGGCGGCCAATACGAAAGATCGTAGCGTAATATGTCCCGAGGGCGGCGTTGACACTGCCAGAACGGTGGATTTCTTCTCCGGTGGTTGGAACTATAGCGCTATTAATACTACCGTGGCCATGATGCAACATTCCAGGAGCTTCGTTGTCGAGTTCCTCCAGAGAGAGCCTGGTTTCTATGCCGTTACTTGGATGGCCATTTCGAAAAGGTCTTCTAGTTCTAGCGTCGGGCCCAATGTATTCTCTATAATGTCACACGAGGATTGTCCTTATCGGTAACGATAATTTTTTCTGCATTATTCTGATAACTTGTAGGCTGATATAAAAGTAAAACAATGGGATCATATCTACCGTGTATTTCTATTTTGTAGATGCCCGGAAATTCAGGCGTGTATAAGTTCTGTGCTATGGTGCGATGGGATCCGTCACTGCCCTTCCGGTTTCGACGAGGAGGAGACCAACTGTTCGTACCGTTTCGGCGTAACATTGCTCTACGTGGCCGTAGGTGCCGGCGCCCTAGGTATATTTCTTATCCTACTGCTTGCCACCGGTTGCCTCAAATATTGCCTCTATCGACACAAAGCTCGCAAGAAAAAAAAGAACGTTGTCCTGAACGTGAACCATCTCCACGTGAATCACACGCATCATAATAACGGTCTGACCGGAAGTCGCCTGAGCGGTCGCTATAATCTCGCCACGCCGCAAGAGATGTATCTGGAAAATTACGGGAAAGACAGTATTTGTTGACAATACGCCATTGCCAATATCGAGACCACCGTGTGAATATTACAGGATTTTTAAAATACGCCTACCTCGCTGGCCTCTTTGATCCCCCTCACCTCCCGCGAAGAGAATGGAAGCAAACGACGGAATAGTCGATCGAACCCATCTCACAGCGCGTACGGCGCAAAAAAAAAAAAAAATATATATATATATATACGCAATAATCGTATTAAACTCTCGTAGACCAATTCGAAGGCATTTAACGAAGGAGCGGATTCCGGATTGTTTCGAAGCCTCGACCACGATCCACGCTTTGTCTCCAAAGAATCGATATTTTTAATTTTAAACCCGAGCAAGAGAAGCGTCTCTTTTCCCGGCGCTATTTAAGTTTCAAATTCGCACCGAATTGGGATATTATAAAACTCCGAATTTTAAAACGTTCTAGAGAACGGACAAAGGGTGAATCGAATCGATGAGAAGCGTTTTCGCTGCTCGAACAATTCGCGTATATGGTTTTCACGGTAAAACCGCCGTATCACAGTAGCACTAGGAACACACGTTTTTAGGATAAAGCAATGTGTGACGATGAGAAGAAGGAAATGAAGCATACAGAGCGCGAAAGATTATAACTAGAAAGAAAATAAAGAGAAAGACAAAGACGCGCACGGCTGATGCGTACGAATATATGCTTTTAAAGTGAAGTAGGATTCTGTAATTTGCATTGAGAGCGAGCGAGCGAGCGAGCGTGCGAAAGAGAGAAAGAAAGAGAGAGAGAGAGAGAGAGAGAGAGAGAAAGAGAAAATTTTTATTACGGTCGGTTGCCGGGAAACGAGTGTTACAAACGTCCACGACGAGAAACGACGCAGAACAGAATTGGCGGGAAAAAGAGGGAACTGACAAAATAGCGGCCAATATAAAATCCCTTTGAACGACTTCGATATAAATCGCATGTGAACATCGGGAGAAAAAAAGGAAACGAAACTACTGTGATTTATCGAAAAAAAAAATTAACCCTTTAGATGCCGTATAATATTATATCGGAGATACTCACTAGGCCGCGATTAAAAAATCTCAATAATAAGAAAGTTCAAATTAGAGCGCGAATACACACGCTCTTTGTATAGGCGGCACCACGCGCTTATGGCATTTAAAAGGTTAAGAAAGAAATGAAAGAACCTTGATTTTATACTTTACGAGAAACATATACAAAAGGAAAAGTCCGAAAAAAAAAAGAGAAAAGAAAAAAATAAATCGATGAAAGATTATTTCGACCGATATTTCTCACTTTTAAAACCGGTTTTATTCTATAATTTTATAAATTGTCGTGTCTGAACGACGATATTCATATGCAATTTATTCTAAGGAATTATACGACCAAGATCAACCAAACGCGTTATCATCGACCCTCTGGATCCATCTTATTATCAAATCCATGTCATCTGCGTCGATCCGTCAATAAACTCCATCGTTTTTTGTAAGAAACATGCAGCCATCACGACTACTAACGCGAGAGCGTAGCGACGTCTTCTATAACTGCCATTTTAGGATTTAGTTCGTGATCAATGGAAAATCCCGGCGGGCGTACAGAAAATCCGGTTGTCGATACTCTATGCTCCCGCGTTAACCGCGATCCTAACCTATCCAGATTTCATAAGTACGTTAACAAAGATGGTATAACATATAGTTAAAAATCACACATGTAACCTAGGTTTGATATCAATGCGCGAGGCTTGACTGGGACGTAGAGATTGGTGTATAGTTGATTATCGTTTAAACGAGTGCGAAGGCGAGAGAAGTGGGCAACATAAAATTGACAACGCATACATTGTAACTCTATTACGAAAGTGTTAACTAATTAAAAAAGCCATCGTTTCACGTACGCACACACCGCCACACGTACGAGAGGGAATACATTACTTACATACATACCACATACACACACGTATGGTAAAAGCGCGTATAACTTACGTCTGTATGCTGTGATAGAAGTAAGCGTATCAACAATCGGAAATAAATTTCTCGCGTAAACTTGGTCTGAATTGCATTCTACCTTTTCAACTGTACAATTAAAATACTGTCCGTTTCTCTTCTCCTGTCAATCCAATCGTATTTCCTGTTGATATATAAAACGTGATACTCATCGTTTCATTAAATAAAAGTTACGACGTACGTTAGAAAAGAAATACGACTTTTTCATGAAAAGACTTCTGTGGAATGAAATGTTTTCTTCAAAAAGCGTCGATTTTATTATTTAAATCCCTCTCTCGGCCGACCTTCGAAGTAACGAGCGTATCCACTTACATATATCCTCGTCAGTTTTATTTGTTCTGTTCTAATATTCAAGCGGTTTTTAAAAGGACGTGCTTTTGAAAACCGATTTCGGTCAGCTATAAATATCGCTGTCTAAATGAAATATTCATTTGTCGGTCAGTGGAACGTACCTCGGCAATAATTTACCTATTTGAGTTGTTTTTTTTCAAAGTACCCTCTGAGATCATGGATGCAGATTCTTTCTGCAGTTCTATCTTATTCCAAAATCTCGAGGTCTTTTCGTTCTTATAGACTCTTTCATTTCTTAAGATCTTAGAATTAGAGTTTCAAGTGAAGTGCCCTCATCTTAGCAAAAGACCTCATGAATCAGTCTGTAAACTTTTCACATGCGTCATACTTACCATCAGTCGATGCTTGTTATTCAGATAGCATGCTTGAAATTTCGATAAAGTGCGCGTTATTCCAGTAAAGAATATGTATGTGTTAAATTCTAAGTATGACACTGTTCCTTCGGTGAACAATATGCTAGAAGCTCATGAAAATACAACAGGAAGCAACGATAGAATTCCAAAGGACGATAAATATTCCAAGTCCGCCATTTAATCATTCAAATAGAATATGGATGCGTGGAATCCAGTGGTCACCGAGAGACGTCCATTCTCGCTCCATCCATATTCTACTCGTAATTCAGGTTCATCAATCTGATTCGTTGTATTTCGCAAATCTGCTTTGTCTTTAGAGTTCCGTTGATTTCACACAAACAATATAGTCTTCGCTTTATTCATTAACGCTAAGCAATTCATAACAAATTAATCGATTTTTCTATCTTATTTGCTTTTCATTTTAATCGAATATATAAAATAATCGTAGTACGAATGAACTTTCGGACGTTCGCGGGGAGACGCGATCTCGAAGAAGCATGCCAACGGGAGTCGTAAATTCCCGTTACGATTCGACTAATCGACGCTATGAATCGTTCGATCCCCTATTTCTTGTGGGATAATAAGGGTGGTTGAGTTGAATAATATAACGCTACTATTAACAGGTTACTATATATTTGAATGATCCAATAACTTCAGTGTTATACAAAATTGAGTATTTGAAATGACAACTCCGAATGAGTACGAACTGAGACTCCTTTCGTGTTGACGACGATGATGAGATATCTTATGTTGATTGACTGTTTTCGACTTGTAGATTCTTGCTGTTCCTTGCACTGCCCTCTGGCTCGAGTTGATAGACTCGCTGATGAGATTTGACTGTTCTGTTGATGTAGACTAGATATAAACTAGAGCGCAAGGAGAAGAAGTAGAGTTGATCCTGCTGATGTCGGAGAAGAAATAGTTGACTCTTCTGACCATTTCACGCGACGTAACAACGAACGAAACTAATTTATTTGAAAGAAAAAAAGACATAAAGTATTAGAATATTTTGGTTGTTTATATTTTGAACTGTACAATAGTTAAATATCCTGATTATATATAAATATAGTCTCTAGGACCTTAATTCAATACATTATTATTAGGTATAATTCAGGTACGTTGCATGGTCAATATGAAAAAATTTATTAATAAACATTTGTAATTTACAACAATGTCGATCCGATGTCAAACCATATTCCATCAGTAATGATAAAATTTGTTGAAAGACATTTATGTTTGCTAAGTTGACTCGAACATTCCGACGCTTAAGAGTAAATTTCTTCGCGAAAAATGTAGTGCTAGTACAGGAGTGTTTTTTGTCGCGAACGTTCGAAGGAGATATGATTCCGTATTCGTTTTTACATCCGGATTATGTGAAACATTCACATCCTCCAAACTCATTTCTTCGGCGAGTTTCGTAAAATCCCACAATTTGATCGTACAATCTAACGATCCTAAAAAAATAATACAAACTACAACTTACTTCTATTTGCTTCATGGTTGTCAAAAAGAAAATGTAAGTAAGGAATATGACCAACCTGAGACTAGTATATTCCCATCTCTACTGAATGATAAGCAATGAATAGTACCAGAATGACTCGATAAGGCAGCGACAAGATGACCATGTGCTAAATCCCAAACTAAAACACGGTGATCAGCACCGGCTGAAGCCAGAAATCGCCCTTCTGCGGAAAAAGCAAGGGAGTAAATCGGAGCTTTGTGTCCTGTCATTAACCTGACTTGGCTGCCGTTTACGCAGTCCCATAATCTTACTGTCATGTCGCTGGAACCGGTTGCTACGTAGTTTGAATTTGGATGGAACTGCACTACCTAAAACAAAATTAATTTGTCATTTTGATTCACGTTTAGCATTTGAAGTTATACGAATATAAACCTACATCTATGTCTGAGTAGTGACCGGCAAATATTCGAAGTGGTTGATGAGAATCAGTTGCCCAGAGTCTGGCGGTTTTGTCGTGAGAGGAAGTTGCGAAATAATAACCATGAGGCGAAAATCTTACACACCACACTGGGAATAAGTGTCCTTTGTAGCATACTACACATGTCCATGTATGCAGAGACCACAGCCTCACTGCGATATAATATAAGTATAATACAATAGTTATTAAGTGTAATTAACACATCATTTTAAAACGCACCTGTACTGTCTTCTGATGACGAAAGAAGGAGATTTCTGTCTGGACTAAATGATAGACTGTATACAGGACCATTATGCCCGAATAACGATCTCGATGTTTCTGCTGTACGATCGTCCATCATTCTTACTAGTACGTCGTCTGTATCATAATATCAACGCGTTAGTAATATAAATTATCCACGTTTATCGTATTCCAAATATCATAACTTCATTGAATGAAAAGAGATATTACCTGCTTCTCTATCTATGTCCTGTAATTGTTCCCCTGTCTTCATCAGTCTTAATTTTTGTGGAACCAGACTCCAGACCTTTATACAAGAGTCACCAAATCCGATGGCCAGCAAACTCGAATCTTCTGCTACTTCAGCTGCTGTCACACTAAATCTCGTATTACATATATGTTACCATTTCTTTGTATAGAATCAATATGTGCGTAAATTTACCTGTTTACTGCATTCAATAGCGTGTAAAAGCATATAGATGGCAAAGTATCAGGACCAAGTACAACGCGTTTCGATGCTTCCCTCAACGCTTTTCCTTTTTCCAATTTATCCGCGTCTTTCCTATATTTATGATCAGATTGTGTTATTTCTTATATTAGAAAAAAAGAAACAAATTTATGAATAAAGCTCCTTACAAGTTGGGCAAAGGCATTCTACCAACAGGAGGTGCATTTGGGTCCGATTTAGTTTTCTTAGAAAATAATGGATCCTTTTTAGCTTTCTTCTTCTTTGGTTTATCCCCATCAACACCACCCGTATCATCCTCTTCTTCTTCGGTTGGTGGCATACATTGAATGTCTGGCTCCTTCAAAAGTCCATAATATACTTTCGCCTTATTGTCTGAATTAAAAGTAATAGTTTAAATAAAAAGCATATTTTTATAAAAGTTTTGGCATTTAATTTGGATAAATTACCTTGTCTTGTTGCTTCACCAACCATTGCACCTGATGTGGCATCAATTTGCTGTTTATTCCTAGCTACTCCTTCGTACATATCAAAATAAAGATGCTCTTGTATAATATTTAACAACACGCAGTGCTTCTTCTCTTGCAAATGTCTTTTTAATATAGAGAGTGTATCCCTCGACATTCTGATTATGAACTGATTAGATCTGTAGAAAATTGGACAGATTATTTATATCATAAAATTATATATTATACATATAATCATTAAAATTTATTAATATATACTTGAAAGTGTCGGTTAATTCATTTCCAGCCATTTGTTCACGTTTTGTGACATTGGACAATCTTTTTAAGTCATTTTGATAATATTCCTCTAAATTTCCACCAAATCTTTCCAGTAATTGCTTTGCTTCTTCAGAATGATTATTGTAAACCAATTCGAGATACATATGTACCAAAACTGGATATAGAATTGTGCCTAATTCATGCTGTCATTGTTCAACAAGGACAGATGTATTATTTCTATTAGTTTGTAAAGTTTATTACGCATTTTTTAATTTAAATAATCTACCTTATATATATCTAAAGATCCTTCTACAAATTTTTTTAGTTCGCTATATGCTTTCTCATATAAAGCAGGGTCTCCCTCGCTTTTGTAGGCAGAAAGAACACTGTTCACTTCAGAATCAGTTTGTTGAGCTTCGTCCGGAGAAATGTCTATCAGATTTGCTTCTTTTTTAAATAATTCCTCTGTTCCCTGTAAGAATAATATTTATAAAGTTATAATGCATGCTTGCATATTACATATATATTTTTCGTATAAAAATATCAAACTGTACAAGAGTTGCTTAAATAAAGATTTAATGTTTATATGAATGTTTAAGGTTAGAACAGTTTAAATGACGAAATTATTTGCCAAATACCTTCAAATTATATTTTCTAAGTAGCTGCAGAACTGCCAGCATAGTACTTTTATCATTATCCATTTTTATCCGAATTTTTATGTCAATAAATTAAAATACTTGTTAACGAACAAATTATTCAAGGAACGAACATCCACTGTACTATTCGTACGCGCATGTAGGCGCGTATGAACACTAGTCATATAGTGTATAGCCATAAAACCATGAACGAACTACGGCCACGGATAAATTAAGAGATAGATATGTAGTTAGATATGCAAGACATGATATGACAAGATAATGCCGTACGTCCTAAAGTACCGATTGTGGAAAAAATCACACAATTTTAAAGCGGTGGATTTCAAAGTAATATATCTATTTGCAGGTACATATGTATACACATGTGCAATCACAGACGAGCTACGGAATAGAACGGATATGGAATTATGTATCGTGTTGCATATTTTGACCACGGTTCCATACATAGATCTGACAACTCCGGTGGTGGGGACAGGGCTCTTAGTGATTGGTTAATTTGTCCGCGGTAAAGCGGTTCATTCGAAAAGTTAGGATTCTGGTTGCCTCTGTATCTTCCTCTCTGTCCTTGTTGCGATTACACACTTAACTCATGGCGAATCTGAATTATATATGAACTTGTTTTAAATAAATGGTAAAAAATGACGAAAAGTAGTTAGGTTCAATCGTTGAGTAAGCTCAATGGTCTAATTTATATCTTTCATTTTCAATGTTACC